CCTACAGTATTTTTACAGTCTTTATTTTACAGTTAAATGTTTATCAAATAAAGTCTAATGTTACAACTAATCAGGGATCCTTTAAGAAGTTTGATCAAACAGCACTGGTAATTATTAATATTCAGAGTATAATTAGTGTTTGTATGATATGTTAGCAGGTTAATTGTTGGTCTGTAATAAATCAGCAGCTGACAGGTCGTTACGACACACTGTGTTTGTGAAACGAGCTCCAGGTGAGCTTTAAAAAGATTTATGATGAAACAGTTTCGAGAACATACACCATTGTCTGACTGACCTTTGACCCCGCCCTCTGAGGAAACCTTTAGCCCCGCCCTTCCTGGAAAGCTGTGATAAGCTGTGGTCAAACATTAACCTGAGCCACACCTGTAGTCATACCTGTCCTCACACACCTGAGGGAGGAGACAGATTTTTCCTTTAATCTGCCCGATGGACCGGTTCTACAGGAGCGGCCCGTCAGCACCTGGTTCAGGACCTGGTTCAGAACCCAGTTCAGGACCTGGTTCAGAACCTCAGCTGCTCCAAAACATCACAATCAACTTCAACCCTTCAGCAGAACCAGAACCTGGGATTAAATCAGGATTATTTAAAAATCCATCTGTACTGGTTCTGAAGGGCCCGCGAGTCCAAAACCCTGACTGACTGGTTCTGAAGGGCCCGCAAGTCCAAAACCCTGACTGACTGGTTCTGAAGGGTCAGACTTCAGAACAAAACTAAAGTTTCAGACTTCAGCTCCACAGAGATGAAAACCCAAAGATCCAGAGTGAAGCACGGAAGGAGCAGCATCATGATGTGGGGACGGACCAGAACCGGGTCGGCTGGACCCAAAAAACTGATATTTAGAACTAAAGTGCAAAATTCTGTTAGCAAAATAACAACAGATAAACTTGGATCAGTTAAAGTTTGTTTAAAGAGGGCAGGGCTACATGATAGAGAAGGGGCGGGGCTACAGGATAAAGAAGGGGCGGGGTTACATGATAAAGAAGGGGCGGGGCTACATGATAAAGAAGGGGCGGGGCTTGTCTCCTCACCTCCTCATCATTGAAGGCCTCCACGGCCCTCAGAACCAGCCCCTCCTCCTCTGACAGCACGTAGACGTTCTGGATCCCGTTCTCCAGGAGCTCGCCGGGCTGCAGGAAGAAGGAGCGCTCGCCCTGAAGGAGGAAGAGGAGGAGGAGGAAGATGTGGGGTCATCAGGTCAGTTTGAAGATGGAGACAAACAGAACTGAAACCAGCAGAACTCTCCAGGTTCTGATTGGTTCTGACGGGTCGGGCGGGTCCTCACCTTCACCACCTTCTTCTGGCCCAGCTGAGGCTTGCCGTCGGTTCCGACCGGGTCCAGGACCACGCAGTACTGCCTGCTGCTGAGCGTGGTCACGTCCACCACCCTCACCACCTCCTCGGCCACAGACGGGATGTGCGCCTCGCGGTCGGCCGCGGTGACCAGCCACTCCTCGCCCGTCCGCCGCTCCCGCCCGCCGGCGTCCTTGAAGGGCCGCAGGGCGCGCACGTGCAGCGCTTTCTGAGGACAGAACCGGGACGTCAGAACCCACAGGGAGGTTCTGTGTGGAGCTCAGAACCTCCAGTCATTTATTACAAACTCAGTTTTATATTTCAACAGCTTCTCTTCCTGTCTGATCCACAAACAACTTCCTGTTGGTTCTGAAGGTTCTGACAGGCTAAGTTCTGCAGAGCGGGTCGGATTTGAACCTTCAACAATTTAGAAAGACTGAACTTTTTATAAGATTTCTCTGTGTGTTAGTGTCAGGTACTTCCTGCCTGCTTTCAGGTACTTCCTGCCTGCTTTCAGGTACTTCCTGCCTGCTTTCAGGTACTTCCTGCCTGCTTTCAGGTACTTCCTGTCTGCTTTCAGGTACTTCCTGTCTGCTTTCAGGTACTTCCTGTCTGCTTTCAGGTACTTCCTGCCTGCTGGGGTCAGACTTTTCCCTCCACACTGACTGACAGGAAGAGAAATCAGATTCAGGTAAACCTGCTGCTGAAAACTGATTCTCAGATAAAAGTCTGACGATCAGAACCGGATCAGACCTGGTTCTGATCATCAGACTTTAAATCTATCAGAACCTTCAGGGGTTTAAAGTAAGGTCCTGAAGGTTTTAAAGCCTCAGACATTCTCTGGACCTGGTCTCTGTCCCTCAGGATGTGTCTGCGTTGTGGGCGGAGTCACCTTGTCAGTCAGGATAAAGGCGTTGACGATGTCAATGACCTCCTCATAAGCACCTGGCAGGTATGCTCCCACCTTATAGACCAGCCACTCCTCACCTGAGGGACACAGGAAGTGGACATTTGTCCCTCAGAGACCTTCAGGGATGTGTGTGGACCTTCTGGACTCTGGGTTTACCTGTGACCCTCTGGACCCCTCCACGGTCTTTGCCCTCCTTGCGAGCTCGGAGCCTGATGGCCTGGTTCTCGTGGATCACCGTGGCCTTGATGGTCTCCAGGACCACCACCTCCTTCCTGGGGATGCAGGTCCCTGAAACCCAAGCAGAGTCTGAGTGAGACGGGTTTTACTGAGGTCCAAAGACCTGACCCAGGTCCTCAGAAGGATTCTGGTTTTTATTATTTGTCTAGATTTAAAAAAGGTTTTCAGCTCTAGAGAATGACCAGGAGAAGTTCTGGATCTGTGTAAAGTCCATCAGAACCACCTGAGGTTCTGACAGGGGGAGTGGGACCAACCTGGACCTTCAAACAGCCACTCGTCTCCAGCGACCCTCTTCACGCCATTGTCGTCCTCAAAGTCCAGCAGGGCCTGGAGCCGCAGGGCCGTGTCYGGGTACACGATCTGCAGCGGGGTCACATCCTGGAAACACACACGGATCAGAACCGGAGCCCCCCCGGATCAGTCTAACAGAACCACACGGACCTGCTGCATMTCCTCTCCGGGGTACAGAGGGAACGGGTCCTGGGACAGGCGGATCTCCAGGTCCGCGTGCCGCAGCTTGGCCTGACCCGATTGGTCAAACAGGACCTGGTTGTCCTCGTCCCGGGCCACGGGGTTGGACACCACGCAGTAGTGTCGAGGCGGGACCATGATCATCCGGACCGGAGGGAACAGAACCCTGAGGGGGGACAAGCAGACYCGGTGTTAGTCCAGAACTAAAGAAGCCCTGAGGGGTTAAAGTTCTGGTTCACRGACCGCTCGTTGTCCTGACGGATGTAGGTGAGCGGTCCGATCTCCACGCGGGCGATGTTGGTGTTCTGGTCCAGGACGTGGATGTAGTGGTGGGGCGGGATCCGGATGATGGACGCGTCCAACGGCATCTCCGTGACGGGTCCACGGGTTCCTCCGGACTTCGACATGATCGCAGTGAGGCACTGCAGAGACCACAGGAAGTCAGACAGTTTCAGAGACCGGACTACCTGAGACCGGCCCACCAGAGACCGGCCCACCAGAGACCGGCCCACCAGAGACCGGCCCACCAGAGACCGGCCCACCTGAGACGGGCTGGAAATGATTCAGTCATAAATCATTAAA